CTTACTAGTATCACTTTTTTCAAGGTAATAAAAATAAAAATAAAAATTTTAAAATAAAATAAAAAAATATATTTTATTCTGGACGGATTGAGCATTAATAAATATCATTATTTTTTATTTTAATTATTGATATTATTAGTAAAAAATATTATCTTACTAGTATCACTTTTTTCAAGGTAATATAAATAAAAATAAAAATTTTAAAATAAAATAAAAAAAAATATTTTATTCTGGACGGATTGAGCATCTAATACTAGCAATTTACGTAATATTTTGGGAATATCCGTATTGTTTGAGATGACGCCCGACTTCTTCAGACTTGAAAACTTCTTCCCCACCGCTGGCTCTTTTTGAAAAACTTACAAATTTTTTAGGATTCGATAATGAACATGTTAGAAAAAGCTTATAATGTTTATATGGGATCAAATAAGTGAATATATATATTATCACTCATTTCACATTAATTAAAAAGAGTTCATAAAAATTACATCACATCATATTTTAAGAATTTTATTACTAACTCATTTTACTAATAAATTATTTTTTGATATTAATAATTAAAAAATAGAATATTTCTTCTTCTTTTTACGTAAATTATATATTAGGGTGTCCCCAGATGAATTTGTGCTACCTCATCATCATCATCATTATTATTATTGGATCTTGGTGCTACCTCAATTCTAATTCTTCCTTTTTCATCAAAGACAAATTATTTACATAGGGACTAAACAGAGGAAGTAAAACATTTCTTCCAACTTCCTTTTTCTCCACAATCTTCTAGTACTTTGAATGACACAAGCGCTCATTTGTGGAAAACTTTTCCACCAAATTTAGGCCTCTATATAAGGCAAGCTAAGAAGTGTGTGGCAATGCATCCCTCTTGTAATGGTAGTCCGAGGAAAACGACCTTGGACCCATCATGAATTCTCTAGGCCTGCTTGCTCATCTTTTGACAGCTGAGTTACAATCCAAGTCAAGTTTGTCCTTTCTGCACTGAGGCTACAGTAGATCTGTATGTGCTTAATCTTTATATGAGAGATTTCAGTAGTGATTGACACATATGATTCTGGTTATCTGTAAAAAAAGACACGTGGTTACTTTTTTGAAGGTTATAAATACCTCTTAAGAGTCTCTTCTCAAAGGTAATTGCAATCGATCTCAAGCTTCGCTTCTGTCTCCCCTTTAGCAGGCTTGATATTGCCAATTTTAGCATTGCAGTATCTACTCTGAGGACAAATCTCGGGACTTTGCAATTCAATCCAAAGAGAAAGTTTGGACAAAGAGCTCAGTAGTTCGTTGTAATTACACCTCCTTTGATCAATACATATCGCTTCCTCTCTTTCAGTTATCATGGCTAAGATACTATCTTTAGCTAGCAAACGTAGCTTCATGGCTTCAACAATGCTCCTCAGCCTTCTTATGGCCATCCTCTCCACCACAAGTAACCTCACACTCTATATATCTGTCTGATTTTTCATTGAATAAGGAAAATTAGGTTTCCTTTAGTGTGATTGTGGTCTTTAATTTTTGTTTGGCTATTTAGAAATTTAGATATTCTAAAATAAAATTAAGGTTAATACGTATTAATCCCGACACCCAAAAACAATTAAAACCCTAACTTATATCTGAAAACTGAATCCTCATCTTCTTAAATATTGATATTTAAATTTAGAAATGCATTATATATTTTAATATATCAACATTTAATAAGATAATTTTTTAAATATTAAATTGAGTTTTAATTAAATAAAATGATATAATTTAAAGTTGAGACTCCAATTATTTTTAAAAATTAGAATTGATGTATACTTTTCCCAATAAAATTAATAAGTTCTATAAATTAATTAAATTTTTAGTTATAAGTATTAGTTCTAAAAGTTTATATTCAATAAGCTAGCATTTTATTTTTTAATTTTAGTGTTTAGTTTTTATTTTTAACAATAAATAAATATTTTTTCTTATTTTAATCTTACCATTATCCATTCACTTTAATTAGTTGTCCAATTACAAAAAATCTTTCTTTATTTTTTACTTCTCTTTTAAAGGTATTATAAATAAATATAAAAATTGTTTCCTAACTCTTAATTTTTTAAAAAATATTTAAAAAATAAGTATTTTAAGACATGAGCAGCAACCAAACTAAAAACTTATAACCATACTAAACAAAAACCATATTATTTAGGATAATGATGTATGCACACTCCCACACCCACACCGCACACTCCCATATCACACACTTTGTTACACCCTTCAATTTTCGTTGTTTTGTGATGCACTAAAATCACCTTAGTAAGTGGATTAGTCGCTCCAAGTAATATAATGATGAGAGAGTGTCGAACCCACGAGGATTATGTCTAATTAAGTATCAAAATAATTAATTTAAATTTATTTGAACAATCAAATAGGAAGAAACTTTAATTAAAAAAAAAAACAAATAAACCTAACCAAGATAGAAGGTATTAAAACATTGATTTCATTATAATCAATCAATATAAATTTTAGATTATCAAATTGTTGAGTGTTATTGCATGTGATGGTGGATTTCCCTAAATTAATCAATTAGCTTTCTCAAGTTAAGTTAATCATTCACTAATTTGTTAAATTAATCATATTTCTATATAATTTTAAATAAACTAATGAGCATTAAATTTTATGGAAACCTCTAGCTTAAGAAGGGGGAGCTCCTAACTCGTTCTCTTCCTCCACTACCACATGTGAGCTAATTACCTCTCGGTCTTATAGTCTAGCACACGGTTTATATTATTATTGGTTTAATCTACGCAATTCTTTCTCAAGTTCATGCATAAATCACTAAATCAATTAAAATGTGATCAGGTTTTCAATGCATTAAGTTCAATAATATAAACTCCTCATCCAAATAACTTTAATTACAAGCATAAAATCACAAAATCTATATTGAATTGATTATGTTACATCGTAATCCTAGTAGAATAAATCAGTTCATAATAAAAATAATAAAATTTAAAATCACAATTATGAATATAAGAATATCTAAGGAAAAACAAAATCTAATTTGAGGTAATTGAGAAATCTTTGATTTTCTTACTGATGGATCTCTATTTTGACCTCCAAAAATGCCCAAAAGAGAGTTGCCATAAGTCTCTACCAAGGTCCCCTTATTTTGAATTTGGATGGTTATTTATAGGATTTTAGAAATCTTAATTAGAATAGAAGTGAAACCCACACTCATAATACCTAATTAAACTCATAATACCTAATTAAACACGGATTTGGTGAAGATCGCGTAAGGAGTCAACAATTTCAACAAGGTGCCGACACTTCTATTAAGCGCACAATCCATCACCGTGTCGGGTTTTTGGCCTTCTTAGCAATTTTTGTAATGGTAAAATGGCAGTTCTGATCCCTGACTTCTAGATCTCACAAGTTGATCCTCAAGTTTCTTATCTTTGCAATTTACTCTTAAATTTTATGATTTCTTCCAATTAAGTCCTTTCCTACATAAAGAATAAAAATTATGTAAAATCAAGTAAAATCTTATAAAACTCATCCAGATATCAACAATATCAAGATAAAAATTTCACATTAATATGTATACAAATTCAACTCATCATTTTGTTGTTAATTACATTTAATTCTGTTACCACCTCTTCAGCCATCTCTCAACTCATCCAACCCTTTCCGCCCTTATCAGATCCATCTTCCTCCTCACCTCCATCCTTATCCTAATCATTTGTAAGACAATTGCTAGCCTTTCCCAAGTTCCCATCTTCTTCCTTTTTTTTTTTTTTCTTTTTTTGGAGAACCCAGACTTGGGTTCTTCTCGGAGAACCCAGATCAAGTTCTTGGTGGTTTCTCCGAGAAGAACCTAGGTCAGGCTCTCTTGGAGAACCTGATCTGGGTTTTCCAAGAAGCCAAACTTGGGTTCGTGGAGAACCCAGACCTGGGTTCGTGGAGAACCCAGACCTGGGTTCGTGGAGAACCCAGACCTGGGTTCGTGGAGAACCCAGACCTGGGTTCTTCTCAAAGAACCCAAATCTGGGTTCTCCAAGAGAACTCGAGAGAAAAAAAGAAAGAAAAAAGGAAGAAGGTGGGAACTTGGTACAGTGAGAGTCTAATGGAGATTAACGGAGTGTGTGGGAGCTAATGGAAAAAAGAGTGCGTAACGAGAGTGTGATATGGTCAGTGTAAACCAATCATGGCCCTATTATTTAATATTTCTATGTATATTGTTATTTTTTGCTTTTAATTTTGATTGTAAAAATTTTAACAACACTAGATTAATCACAATCTAAAGTTAATTTAAGAAAAATTAAAATAATGGTTAATCATATAAGTTGTTGAATTCAATCTTATGCAGGTGCCCAAATTGGTGTTTGTCATGGCATGCTTGGTAACAACTTACCGCCCCGCCCAGAAGTCATAGCTCTCTGCAACCAATACAACATCCGAAGGATGAGACTCTACGACCCGGATCAAGCTGCGCTCCAAGCCCTCGGAGGCACCAACATTGAGGTCATGCTTGGCGTCCCCAACACCGATCCCACGCATCGCCGCCAGCCAGGACAATGCCAACGCTTGGGTCCAAAACAACGTCAAGAACTACGCCAACGTCAAGTTCCGCTACATGGCCATTGGGAACGAAGTTAAGCCCTCGGATTCTTTTGCACAGTTTTTAGTCCCCGCCATGCAGAACATCCGAAGTGTACTTTCGACTGCCGGACTTGGAATCAAAGTTTCCACGGCTATCGAAACCGGGACTCTCGGAGAATCTTTCCCACCGTCCAACGGGTCTTTCAAGGGTGAATATATGCCGATCCTAAACCCTGTTATTCGTTTCTTGGTGGACACACAAGCTCCATTGCTGGTCAACTTGTATCCTTACTTCAGTTACATAGGCAACACTAAGGACATCTCCCTTAATTAAGACATCTCCCTTAATTACGCCCTCTTCGCGGATCCGGCGCCGTGGTCCAAGACGGGTCTCTACAGTACCATAATCTTTTCGATGCAATTCTTGATGCAGTCTATGCTGCCCTTGAGAAGTCCGGTGGAGGTAATTTAGAGATTGTTATATCAGAGAGTGGCTGGCCTACTGACGGTGGAACGGCGACGACGGTTGATAATGCAAGGACTTATAACAACAATCTGATTCAACATGTGAAGGGAGGGACTCCGAAGAAGCCTGGAAAGCCCATCGAGAGATACATTTTTGCCATGTTTGATGAGAATAACAAGGAACCGGAGTATGAAAAACACTAGGTGTTGTTGATACATACAATCTGCAAAGTTACAAATTTTATTACATATTGACGAAAAATGAAAACTATCAATTTTAATAGTTTAAATAATGAAAACTGTCAGTTTTAAAGATATAAGTAACGGAAATTATAGATGTCTAACGGAATGTGTAACTTTATAATTTGTATGTACTATTTATTTTTCTCCAAACAAGTAGCTAATAGATAGATGAAGATGTTGCTGTAGGAAGG